GGAAGTGTATGTGATTGCATATGCTAATGTTTAATTGTTGCTATCAACCATGGTCATTGGTGTAGTGTGCCTCAATTGTGTGAAAATAAAGTGCACAAGGATAGTGTGAATTGTTAGTTGACTCGAGGACGAGCAACGTTTAAGTGTGGGGTAGTGATGTTTGGTGATAAATGATGAAAAATGCATATTTTTTAGTATATTTGCATATTAATTTTTGTGTGTGTCGCGGGAGATTACATGATTTTCGAAGTGAAATATACTCATTATGTGTTTCTTATGTGTAGGAACGAGTTTGGATGCTAAATGATCAAAAGATGACAATTCGACACAAAAAGAAGAAATTAAAGGAGTGGGAGCTCGTCTATTCTCGTGCGTGGCACGAAGTCGTACGCGAAAAAGGAGAAAAGTTAAGGCATAAAACAGCGAAGCGAAGCAAAGGCACGGAGCGCTTCGCGAAATGGAAGAATCTCAAAAGCTGGATCCGCGTCAAAGTCCGCGTCTAGACGCGAAGGCAGACACGGATCCGCGTCAATGTCCGCGTCTAGACGCGAAGGCAGACGCGGATTCCAGCTCTCCCATCCGAAGTTGGATTGAAGAATTCCGCCCCTCATCAACCCTAGGTCATATAAATACATCCTAAAACACCACTTTGAAAGAGGGGGACACACTTTTGACATAATTTAGAACTAAGGATTTGGAACTAAGGAGGCGGAGGAGGACGTTTTTGAGAGGAAAACACAAGCATAGAGCCGCCGTGGAGGCCGGGTTTCATCTTTTCTTCCACCAACTTAGTCTTTTTATATTTCTTTGTATGATTTGTTGTTTTGCTACCATGTCTATGTGGAGCTAAGCTTCACGTTCTAGGGTTGTGGTTCTTTCATGACTATTGTTATTCGGATATTGATTTTGATTTCTTAGTTTATCATATTGGTTTATTTATTCAATCCTGCACTTAATTATTTGATTGCTTGATCACCAATTGAATACTATCTACGAATCTAGAGTTGAACTCGAAAGTGGGAATTCTAGATTGCATATAGGATTGAGTAGAGCAAGTTCTTGAACCTGGGCCTCGGGGAACGGATTCGCGGTTAGGATAGACATATACCTAATTGCCTTGCTTGGTTAATTTACAGGAATTATAAATGCGTTCTTGTTGATTCTAACTCCATAGACATATAGGCGTTAGGTTAGCTTGAATAGGCGAGTAAGAACTCGACAGATTCTTATGAGCAATATTAACCCTGTCAACCAATAAACTAGATAAATTAGTTAGTCAATTCAATTGAAGAATACAATAGGAATGTTAGATAGCCCATAACCCTAGATCGTTTTCATTACATTGATATCATAAAAATCTGCTCTTTCTCTCTGTTAAAAGTTCATTATTTGTTTTTATTTATTTTAATTAGTTTAGAATCAATTACTTCTAGGTTTAATTCTTGTTTAGATAATCAGGATAGTCTAATTTAGTTAATAGTTAATCACAAGTCCTCGTGGGCTCGACATCCGACTTTTAGTCACTTTATTACTTGACGACCGCGTATACTTGCGTGTGCGTTTGGCCGCAACAATAGGTCAAGGAATTCTTTTTTTTTTCTTCACAAAAAGTATTTTCCACCATATTAAATACAGCCTTAGACAAAATGTGTGTTTGCTACGAGAGAAAAATGACTTCTAGAAAAATATTTTCCATGAGGAAGTCATTGTTTGGTATTTATTGGTACGATGGAAGTTATATTTCATAAAAAAAAATTCCATCAAAAGCAGAAAAATGACTTTCGCCGATAAGTTATTTTCCTTACAACTATCTAAATTTTTAATATCATATTACATCATAATTCTAAAAAGTTTTAGCAAAACATTCCCCAATTTGTTGATATTATTATCAATTTTTAATATCTATATTTTTTCTGAAAAATAATTTTCACCTAAAAATTAAATAAAATATTTTTTATGAAAAATGACTTTCATCGTACCAAAAACGCAAAGGTAAATAAAACTTGTTAAGGGCCCTACCAATTAGTGCTAAGTGTGAACGTGAACATATTTTCCTTTCCTTTTCCTTTTCATCATTTGCTGCACTATAGTCTATATGTTTAAATTAAAGGTCGAAGCTACCTCACAACTCACTGGGCCGTACTAAAATTACGATGAAATTAACATTCTACCAAAAAAATTGAAGATACAAGTTTTTTTACAATTAAAGTCATATTCTTTGTACCAATATGAAACTCATCTCATCCATATAAGTCAATAGTTACTCCTTAGGCAAAGAGAATTTTTTTTTTTTGGTTTCCCAAACGGTGTCGGGTACCTGTATTGAAGCCCGACTATATCCGGATTCGCGCCGCGTAGGGCCCTATTCGGGGGGGAAGCGCTCCCTACCAAGGATTTTTTTCATACCCAGGGCTCGAACTCGAGACCTCTGGTTAAGAGAGGAGCAGTCCCATCCAGTGCACCACATCCTTTGATGGTAGGCAAAGAGAATTTTAATTCATAAAGAATGTCATAATCTATTTTCTTGCTGCCAATACACAATAATTGAGCCTTAGCCATTTAACTGCCAAATCTAAAATGGCAAATCTTATTTAGCTTAAGATTCAAGTTTTTGGACCAGTAATCTTATCAAAGAAAAAGAAAATGATGGACCACAAATATGATATCCAAAAAAAAGAAATTAAAGTTTCTAGTAGCAATTGATTAACTCGTGAAATGATTATGACTTAAATCATCAAAAGCAATTGAAAATTTGAAGAAGAAAAAAGGCACAGTAAATATGATTTGTTTTAAATCACCTACAAATTTACTACTCCCTCTTGTCCACTTTAAGTGATTTTTTGACCTTTTTTCGTGATTCACAATATTTAATTTTTTCAGATACTCCCTCTGGTCCAAAATAAGTGATTTTTTGGATGTTTTCATACAAATTAAGAAATTCACCTTTTAGCATTAATTAGCAATGAAATTGACCATATTAACCTTTACTATCTCACATAAACACTCCTAACACATATTCCAACATCATTTACTTCAAGGACAATGTAGGAAAAAAATAATTAATTCATTCTTGAAATCTGGAAAAATCACTTATTTTGGACCACAAGAAAAAGGCCAAAAAATCACTTATTTTGGACCGGAGGGAGTATCAAGAAGGAATTAACTTCTTCTTTCCAAAGTTGCCCTAGAGTAAAGAGCCTAGGAGTAGTTTGTTATATTTTTAATAAGCAAATTAAGGTTAATATGGTCAATTTTATTGTTAATTAATGCTAAAGGTGAATTTCCGTAGACTGAAAATGGATCGGAGGGAGTACAAATTTGTTGCAAAGCTAAAAATACAGTAAAAACATTTATTGGCATTGATGCAAATGATGAGTGATTAGATTCCTTCAATTGTTTCACATGAAAATGATCATATGTAAACAGCACGCCTCAATTAGTTGTGGATTTTCCAATGATGAATTTAATAGCCTACCCACAGTCCACACCGTAAAAACTTACCCGCACCGGGTGTTTACATCAAACTAATAGATATATGATATGTGTGTTGCGTATGGACTTCAATCATTTAACCATGGTAAATTACATGCATTCTCATCTAATTAAATTAATTAACTATAGTGAGTTAATATAGTTTGGTGTAAATACCCGATGTGGGTAAGTATTTACCCAGTCCACACTATGCAAATGAATTGGTATACTATTGGGAGTACTAAAATAGTTCTTATGTTTACGAATGAATTTAATTCATTCGTAATTTCATATAATGGGGGATAAAAGGAAGCATATGATGTATTCAGCTGGCTTGAATATGTATTTTCTTCGGGTAGTGGAAGAATAAATCTAAAAATAGCACGGGCTAGCCAGTTTTATGGACTGGTTATTCAAAAAATAGTCAGCGTTTGCAAAGTCATTGAAAAATAGCCAGTATTTTACTGCAACATGGAAAGTTCCAGCATAATATACTGGAGATCGGTGCACCTGTGTATGAACTTCCAACATATTATGCTGGAACTCCAACACGCGGAAAGTTCTAGTATATTATGCTGGACCGGTATATTATAGTAGAATTCCAGTATATTATACTGGAGTATTTTTTCGGATTTTGAACAGTGTTTTCGTTCAGATTTATCTATACATGAAAAGTGGCTAAATTTCGATTACTTTTGAAACTGTGACTATTTTTGAATGACACTTGTAAATCTGACTATTTTTGAATTTCTCCCATAATAAATTGGAAGAAGTCTATCATTCTTCAATTTAAACAACTCACATGCTTCACGAGCCAATTGTGTCAATAACTAATGCCGTGTGTATTAAATATAACGGTGACAAAAAATGCTTAATTTTAGTAAACATAAAGAACTAAAACTGCTTATTTATATATTAGAGGACTAATTAAGAACCAACATCCAAGATTAAACACTTTTTCTGTCCTTCTATAGTATACTATTACTATTCCTAAAGAATTGGAAAGCAGCCTATAAATCCAAGACATAAATGCAAAAACTTTGAACCCAGCCCAGATCCAACTTAATTTGAGCATAAATGGCAGCCTGTGCACTAAATGTCCGTTATGTGCGGGGTTCGGGGAAGGACAAGACCTCAAAGGTCTATCATACGCAATCTTAATCATGCATTTCTGCAAGATGCTGTTTCCACGCTCAGAACTCGTAATCTCCTGACCACGCGTCAGCAACTTTACTGGTTAATCATAATTAACTTATTTCTAAAGTCAAACCTCCTTGTCTAAAAGCAAAAGACAGTGGCAAAATATTTGTTTCTTGATTTAGGCCAAACAACCCAATAAAATTCAAGAATGGTGGTGGGTCACTCTCACTCACTCACCCCCACAATCCTCCCATGACTATTGAGTAGCATAGTAGGTGTAAATAACAGGTTGATCCCTACATAATTAATGACCCCTCACTAGTTTACAGTCCCCTCCCCCCAAATTTGCAATCTTTACTCATTTTCACAGCCCAAAATACCAAAAAAAAATGACAACACCGCCTGGGGAAAAGCTAGAAATTCACTTTCCAATCAAGAAAGTGGTAAAGACTCAATCTTTTTTCCACCCATTGAAGACCCTTTTCTTTTTGCTTATTTTCAGCCATACCCAGATGAGATTTTGTGATGGGGTTTCAGTTTTGGACCTTAATTCAGCTAAAGATAGTAACTTTGAGCTAATAGGCAAAAGGGGTTGTTCTGAAAAGTTAAATAAATGCTCAAAAATTGTGGATGAAGAGGATATGATGGATAGTGAAAGCAATAGAAGAGTTTTGTTGATGCAAAAGAAGTACATAAGTTATGGTACATTGAAGAGAGATTTGGTGCCTTGTAATACTCCTGGGGCTTCATATTATGATTGCAAAGCTCCTGGGGCAGCTAATACTTATAACAGAGGTTGTGAGATTATTACAAGATGTGCTAGGGTGGTCAGTAACATCAAATCTTGATTTGGTAACTGAAACTTTATGCAATTAAATTGGTAAGGTTTTATTGTGCTTTTCAATATTATGTTACTTCTGTTGGACTTATGGGGATTGGAATTTTTGCTATTGTTGTATACTATGAAAATCAGTGGAAACAATGTTCTATGTCAAATACAAATTCTGCTGGTGCCAAATATTTTGGGTCTGCTTTATGAAATATCTTGTTTAATCTTCCCCCAGAATAGCACAATTAATTACAAAGAATTGATATGAGGGCTGGAGTGGACTTGATATAGTGCTTAAAATTTTTGTGTAGTTATGGTTGATGTCCTAATAAATTGAGAAACTTATTGCTCCTTTTGTATATTTGATTTGATGACCCGTTTTCCCCACATTATATTTTGTGCTAGACCTCTCTTTAGCCGAGAGTCTATTGGAAACAACCTTTCTGCTCTTCCAGGGTAGGGGTAAGACTGCGTACATCTACCCTCCCCGGACCCCATTTGTGGCAATTCGTCGAGTTTGTTGTTGTTGTTGTTGTATATTTTGTGCTAGAGATTTAGAGCATAAAGCATTTCCTTTTTCTGCATAAGAATCATGCTTTGATCCAACAATGGAGGTCGAGTCCACGTGCCTCTAAGAGTGGCGTCTATTTACTAATGACACAACGGTTTCTGTTGTGTGTCATTCTGTTAATCCTTTCATCTAAAACATCATTAGGTGTAAATTTGTGGAGAGCAGAGTATTACATCTTTTCCGCAGCTCTTTTAAGAAACCAAAGACGATTCTTTAGATGTTATTCTGATACTGAGCTTCCATTACAAACTTTCACATAATTTTGAATGTTTTTAGGCGAATATACAGAGAGGTCTGAAAGTGTTTCTAGGAGAGTGGCATGTCCTTATGTCTCTAATGAGCAGAATTTTGGGTTGATGATTGTCTCGGATATACTGTAGATGCATATTGAGAGGTCAAAGGGGTAGAATTTGGGAGAATGCAAACTGTCAAGAAGTTAAGGGTTATTATGGTATCCTCTATTAGTGGGGTGTGTGTCTATGGAGTATTTTGTGGAAATGACGTAAAGTTGACGGTGAGGGTCTATTGGAAACAGCCTCTCTACCTTCACTAGGTTAAGGTCCGGGTACACACTACCCTCAACAGACCCCACTTGTGGGAATATATTGGGTTTGTTGTTGTTGGTGGTGGTGTTGATGTGAAGTTGATGCCGGATAAGACTTTCTTGAGTAGTATTTCAGAAAGTGTAGGTGAGTAAGGACATCGGCAGTGAAGGACCTTGGTGAAAGAAAACTAAAGGAAGAAAGAACTGGAAAAGAAGGAAACATGGTGCTTAGGAAAGATTAGTAGTAGTCCTATTCCAAGAGTACGCACGTCGCTGGAGGACTGAGGCGGCCAGAGCACAACCACCATTAGATGACAATGAATTGACAAAGTACTTTGATGTCAAGAAGTAAGTTCTCTATGAGGATTTTTCTTCCACATTTCGTTTCTCTTCCTTCATTATCATCTTTTGGACATGGGGAGGGTGGTGGTGCTCGCTGGTTTTCCTAGGTGCATTAGTAGCACAATAGAACTGAGAAACAGTAGGAACATTTGCACTACTAGAAAAAATAACAAACACAAATGTAACAGAAGCGTTGTGATTACATTAATAGAAATAGTCGAGATTTGTATAGTTCAGCAATATTTCGGTTCATTAGCTTTACCCTCAACCATTCAGTTCATAATCTTTACCCTCAGCATTAGGAAGCTGCTATCCTTCACTTTAGTGAAATTGCCTACTTGTTTCTGTTTGCTATGTTATCTATCTTTGCTGGAAGATGTGCAAGTATGTAAGTGGTCCTTAGTTTTAATTTATTTTCATGCATAAAGAAGACCCTTGTGGTCCGGCCCTTTCCTGGACCCGCGTATAGCGTAAGCTTAGTGCACCGGGCTGCCGTTTCATAAAGAACACGGCTTTCAAAAAGGGGGCGATTTCTTAATTGCTTAACTCATATTGTCTTCTCGGTTATGTAAGAGTTACAAGTTAGGAAATAATTTCTCCATGCATTTGCTGACAAGGGATTCCTTTTCTTGGCATGAGTCGTCTTTTCTTGCATGAGGATCTGGTAAATATTTGGTCAATTTATGTACACCACAATTGCTCAAGAGCTCAAAAGCGGAACCTTGGCGTAACTGGTAAAGTTGCTGCCATGCGACCTGGAGGATACAGGTTCGAGCCATGAAAACAGTCTCTTACAGAAATGCAGGGTAAGGCTGCCAAGATCCTTGTGGTCCGGCTTTTCTCCAGACCCCGTGCATAATGGGAGCTTAGTGCATCGGGCTGCCTTTTAATTGCTTAAAAGCTCAAAACTCATACTTCCCAGTAAAATCACATAACTATGCAGTATTGATTTAACATTTTTTTGTTACAATGCACTTGCTGCATGTGTTAGATACTTGTACTCACTGAGTCCTTTTATATTAACCATAACATGCAGTGGATTTAGAGAACTTTTAGTTTTAGAAAAGCCTAATTTGACTTCTTTACTGATTAAAAAAAACTCTAATTTGACTTATATTTATTGTTGGAATGAAATGGATTTGAACAGAGTGGAATGGATAAAGATGATTCATATAGTGACACCAATTAATTTGGCAGTGAGAGTAGTTGATTGTTTAATTGACTGACTGAAACATGTAATGGTTTTGCATTCATTTTTACTTGATGCAACTCTGTAACTGATATTTATGTTACATTTATCCTTTGTCAGATTGTGTTTCATTTCCCATGAAAGATTTCTTTAACTTTATAAAGACATTTTCACCGGTCTCTAGAAAGGATTCACTCAGAATTATAATGGCTTTAGTAGCTCATTATGATTTAGAGCTACATCAAATGGATGTAAAAACCGCCCTTTTAAATGGAAATTTAGAGGAATAAGTTTATATGGATCAACCAGAGGGGTTTGCCATTAAAGGAAAGGAACACATGGTGTGTAAACTTAAGAAATCAATATACGGACTTAAACAAGCTTCCCGACAGTGGTATCTTAAATTTAACGAAACTGTTGTCACCTTTGGATTTAAAGAAAACATTGTTGATCGGTGTATATATCTGAAGGTCAGTGGGAGTAAGTTTATTATGTTAGTCTTGTTTGTTGATGGCATCTTGCTTGCTACTAATGATCTTGGTATGATGTATGACACCAAGAAATTCCTTTCTAATAACTTTGAGATGAAAGATATGGGAGAGGCATCCTATGTGATCGGGATAGAAATATTCCGAAATAGATCACTAGGATTATTGGGATTGTCTCAGAAAGCCTATATTAATAAAGTGTTAGAAAGATTTAGAATGAAAAAATGCTCATCAAGTCCCGTTCCAATTTAGAAAAGGGATAAATTTAGTCTCAATCAATGTCCAAAGAATGAATTGGAACGTATGCAAATGAAAGATATTCCTTATGCATCTATAGTTGGGAGCTTAATGTATGCCCAGACATGTACAAGACCAGACATCAGTTTTGCTGTTGGAATGCTGAGAAGATATCAAAGTAATCCAGGGATGGACCACTGGAAGGCTGCAAAGAAAGTGTCGAGTTACTTGCAAGGAACGAAAGATTATATGCTCACTTATAGAAGATCTGATCATCTTGACGTGATTGGATATTCAGATTCAGATTATGCTGGTTGTATGGATACAAGAAAATCTATATTTGGTTATTTGTTCCTGTTAGCCGGAGGAGCAATATCATGGAAGAGTGCAAAGCAGTCTGTCATAGCTGCGTCCACTATGGAAGCTGAATTTGTGGCATGCTTTGAGGCTACAGTTCAGGCTAATTGGCTGCGGAACTTTATTTCAGGACTTGGACTAGTCGACAATATTGCCAGGCCGCTGAAAATTTATTGTGATAATTCCGCAGCAGTCTTTTTCTCTAAGAACGACAAGTATTCAAAGGGTGCTAAGCATATGGAAGTGAAATACTCTGCCGTCAAAGAAGAAGTCCAGAAACATAAAGTGTCAATTGAACATATTAGCACTAAACTTATGATTGCCGATCCTTTGACGAAAGGATTACCACCCAAAATATTTGTTGAACATGTTGAAAGAATGGGCATTCTTAATAGCAATGTATGAATTTATCTAAAGACTTTATTATGTTTATGAAATTGACACTTTGAGCTCATTTAAACATATGTTTTTGGTATTCTATACCTGTTTTCTCTTGTATACATAATATTGAGAATAACGATGACAGGTTTAGGCTTAGATAAAGATATTCTAAGCATTAACGTTGGACCAATTAAGTATTACTTTTACATGTTGTATTGGGTAATAGACTGATATTGTAGTACATAGAAGGGACTATATCGAGTAAGTGATGTACAACCGCCATGACTCATATAAGTTTACTTATTCAATAACAACGAGTGATGTTTCCAATGAATGAGAATTTAATATTTTATTGTGCACATAATGGTTGAGATATTTATTAAACCATTAAGTGAGTAACATCACGTGCACCAAGTGGGAGAATGTAAAATATGGCCCACGTGAGTATTTTGGTTTAATATAAATATATTTTGTTAAATTAATATTTGGATAAAATTAGGGGAAGTTAATTATGGTCATAACTCCCCACTAACCCACTTTGATGGAAAGTGGGGGAAGTTAATTATGGTTATAACTCCCCACTAACCCACTTTGATGGAAAGTGGGAATTAACTGATGGCCCCTCTCTCTGCCTATTAAAAGGAAGAATAGCGTACTCCATCTATTCTATTCTGAAAAGAACATAGAAAAGGAAAAGAGAGAGAAATGCTGATTTTCTCAAGAACAGCAACTCTGAAGAAGACTTCCGCTCAATTTAATTAAGAAAACACATCATGGATTCAGGTAAGTTTTCTTATAGAAGCCGGAAAGCATGTGGGACAAGTCCCACATTGGTGGTGAAATGCCTCTTTTGGTGCCTTTTAAGTCCTTGTCCTTTTATATATATATATCAAAGACTTGGGCTTGGACACTGGGTGCGGGTAGGATCGGACCTAAAATAAATAATTTATATTTTTATTTATTTTTACAATTTAAATCTGTTTTATTTGAAATTTAGATTTTAATATATTTGAATAAACAGATACGCCTGTTTGTGAAGAAATATATCTTTTTGAAAAGGTCCGATGGTTGCTCTATAAATTGAAGTTCTTCCAACAAAGTGGATATAGAAAAATCTACAAGTATATTCTTGACTTGTTTTATCCTGAAGAAGATTGTTTGTATTTTCCCAATTTATATACGGACAATATCTTCTTTAAGGAAAGTCGTTCTCACGCCTCAAGCCTTATTCAATTTCGTTTTCAATTATTATTTTTTCTAACAATATAAACATTTAATATTGTTTTTCAAATATTTCGTGATGGCAAGATTCTTTTATTTTAAAACCTTTTTTGGAAGGGTTGGTGAGTAGGATAGTGTGACTAGATATTAACTTCACGTTCACAATAACATGCATTATAACAACAAATTAAAAATTGGAAAATGGGAGTTTTCTTGTAATGGAGTACTGTACTGGTCTTTCACCAACAAATAAAGGAACTGAAAGCCAAACATTGAATAGCTAAAGGAAACTGACATAACACAACGTTGTCTTAGATATGTACAAATAAATGTACAACTTATAAAGGTGTAAAAGAAGAAGTAAAGTAGGATCTCTCATAAAATTGAGCAGTTTGTCTTTCACTTTCAACTAGAGGTGTTCATAAAAATTCAAAAAATCAAAACTAAACCGAAAATCGAACTAAACCAACCAAAAAACTAGTACTTTTTTTGGTTTGATTTTGATTTTGAATTTTAAAAACCAATTAAATTTGGTTTGATTTTAATAAAAAATAACCAGAAAAAATCAAACCAAACCGGAATATATATATATATATATATATATATATATATATATATATATATATATATATATATACACACACACACAGTGAGAGAGCTTCTATCGTTTGCACTTAGTTCTGTCTTTACATTCTAGTTTAATTGGTAGTTTTCTTTTGCTAAGTACAAGAATCTATTTCATATAAAAAAAATAATCTATTTTTTTTGTTGAGTCCTTAAATTATTCATCACTATTTGATTCAATTATCATAAATATATCTTAATAAATAATAGATTTCTCAAAGAGCAATTATTTTGGTAATGTTACATTGAAGCTGTAGTATATGTGTTTGGTAGTATATGTCTTATATTTAAGTAAAAACCGATAAGTAACCGAAAAAATCAAAAAACTGACAAAAACAAACATAAACCAAATCGATTAAAACCCGACTTAATTGGTTTGGATTGGTTTCAATAATTGAAAAATCAACTTACTTGGTTTGGTTTCTTTTTAGGGAAAAAACGATCCAAACTGAACCTTAAATACCCTGCTCTCAACATTATTTTTCATTAACCATCAAACCATATCGTGAATGGTTGGGATTCCACCATTTATAAGACTCTTAGGTTCGAGCCCTAATATTGAAAAGCTTTGATAGGAAGTGTTTTACTTCATTAATGAATATACCTAGCGCAAACATGAATCCAAATTAGTTGAGTTTATCAGTAAATTATGGATATCGGAATGATTGAAAAAATATTTTTATTTGGCATATATATCTAAAAATTGACAATCTTGCTCAAAAAGTTATGTATGACTCATAATTAGTTAATTACTACAGTATTACTATAAATATCTTTTCTACAAAAAAAAAAAAAAGATTTCAACCACCAAAATACCATTTTATCTTCTTCTTTTTCCCCTCAAAGTTTCAACTATTTAGAGAATTTAAATTTAACACTTGAACTATTTAAATTGTAGTCTTTAGTAAGGTGAATCAATTCTATTAGATGCAACCATCAAAGGATGTGGTGTACGGGGTGCTCTTCCATTAAATAGAGGTCTCGAGTTCGTGTCCTGGGCGTGGAAAAATTTTTGGTAGAGGGCGCTACCCCCCGAATGGGATCCTACCCGGCGCGAATCCGGATATAGTCGGGCTCCAATACGGATATCGAATACCGGGTAAAAAACCAAAAAAAATTCAATTAGATGCCATTTACATAAATCCGGTGCTTTCCCTCGAGACAAAGGTCAAGTCCTTGACATTAGTGACTTTGAATTTGATCACATTTTTCCATATTAAACGAATTTAAAAGATGGGGAAAAAAGCAAAGAAAAATTGAGCTCATATCGACTTGTAACTTAATCCACTTGAATTCCTTAGAAAATTATATATTTTTAATCGTTATGAACTTAGAAATGGAGAGCAATTTGAAGAAATGACCTTATATCTTAGTGTACTGACCCCTAATCGAATTGTTTGAGATTCAGAAGTGGAAGAAATTATTTTATTTACTAATAGCGGTCAAATTAGCATATTACCAAATTACGCCCCGAGAAATAACAACCTATAAATTATATATTCTTTGTATATATGTGTATTATATACATACTTTATACACTATTTGGCTAGCGAATCCAATTAGCTTCGATCGACCGATCAATTTTATATTTTGCCCCTTCCCTTGAACAAACTAAAAATTTCAACCTCAACCACCAAATACATGTCTACTTTTGACCTCAAATATCACCAACACCCAGAATCAGCTTTACCAAACATCTCCAACAACAAACAAAAATTAAATTCTTTTTTTTTAAAAAAAAATAAGAAATTACCATTAAAAGGGTATTATTGTAAATTCACGCAACCACATCCCCTATAAATTCCCTCCATTTCCACTTCCTCTTCGTCTTTGCCATCATCTCCTCTGTTTTCTCCATTTCTTCTTCAGACACACTATATTCAAACATCCTCAATTTCCTCTAACATGGATCCAGTTTCAATCTGGGGCAATACACCCTTATCAGAAACCGACCCGGAAATCCACGACCTTATCGAAAAAGAAAAACGCCGTCAATGTCGCGGCATAGAACTAATCGCATCGGAAAATTTCACGTCGTTCGCCGTAATCGAAGCCCTAGGCAGCGCCTTAACTAACAAATACTCAGAAGGAATGCCAGGTAACCGTTACTACGGCGGCAATGAATACATAGACGAAATCGAAAACCTAACACGTTCCCGCGCTTTACAAGCTTTTCACGTGGATCCCACGAAATGGGGTGTTAATGTTCAACCATATTCAGGTAGTCCAGCTAATTTTGCTGCATATACAGCAGTTTTAAATCCACATGATAGAATTATGGGATTGGATTTACCATCAGGTGGGCATTTAACACATGGGTATTATACATCTGGTGGGAAAAAGATTTCAGCTACTTCAATTTATTTTGAGAGTTTGCCTTATAAGTTGGATTCAAAAACCGGGTATATTGATTATGATATATTGGAAGAGAAGGCATTGGATTTTAGGCCTAAGTTGATTATTTGTGGAGGGAGTGCTTATCCTAGAGATTGGGATTATAAAAGATTTAGAGATGTTGCTGATAAATGTGGGGCTCTTTTGCTTTGTGATATGGCTCATATTAGTGGCCTTGTTGCTGCTCAGGTGAACTCTTGATGTTTTTTTGGTTTAAAGATTGTGTTTTTTTTTCAACCATCTGCATGTATCTGCATTTAGTTTGGCTTTTATTTGATGTTTTTTTGGTATAAAGATTGTATTTTATGTCATTTATTTGTCTGCATGATGATTGTGAACTTGTTTAGAGGGTACACATGCATTTTATTTGATGCTGTTTTGATTCATATAGCAGATCCAACTTTTATTGCTTGCTATATTTGTTGCATTTTGATTAATGTGGGGTTCTTTTGCTTTGTAATATGGCTCATATTAGTGGCCTTGTTGCTGCTCAGGTAAAATTGAATGTTTTTTTTTGGTTTAAAGATTGTATTCTTATGCCATTTTTTTATTTGCATGATGATTTGGCTTTTATTTGATGTCATTTTGACTCATATAGCAGATCCTAACTTTTATTACATGCTATTTTTCGTTGCATTTAAAAAAAAAAAAACAATTGTGATGCTCTTTTGCTTTGTATTATGGCTCATATTAGTGGCCTTGTTGCTGCTCAGGTAAGTTCTTGATGATTTTTTTGGTTTAAAGATTGTATTTTTATGTCATCTTTTGGTCTGCATGTATCTGCATTTAATCTGGCTTTTATTTGATAGTACCACTTTGATTCATATAGCTGATCCGAACTTTTAGTACCTATTTTTTGTTGCATTTTTTTTATCTACAAATGTGGTGCTCTTTTGCTTTATATTATGGCTCACATTAGTTGCCTTGTTGCTGCTCAGTTAAAGATTGTTGTCCTTCTGTTTTAAAGATTGTATTTTTATGTCATTTTTTGATCTGCATGTTTCTGCCTTTAATCTGGCTTTTGTTTGATAGTACCATTTTGATTTCATATAGCAGATCCGAACTTTTATTACATGCTATTTTTTGTTGCTTTGTGATGTGCTCATATTACTACACTAGTGGGTAAACCTGCTTGCTGCTCAGGTAAAATCTTTATGTCCTCTGTTTTAAAGATTAAATTTTATGCCATTTTTTTATTTGTGTGATGATTCTGAATTTGTTTAGAGGGTAAATCTGCATTCAATTTGGCTTTTATTCGATGCCACTTTAGACAATTCATATAGCCGACCCAACTAGTTTTTATTTCCATGCTATTTTTTGTTGCATGGAAATAAATATGGTGCTCTTTTGCTTTATGATATGGCTTAGATTAGTGGCCTTGTTGCTGCTCAGGTACAAGTTTTATTTTTGTTTTATTTTACATCATTTTTTTATTGTGTGATGATTCTGAATTGTTTAGAGGATAAATCAGCATCGAGTTTGGCTTTTATTTGATGCCATTTTTTATTCATATTAGTGGCCTTGTTGCTGCTCAGGAAAATTTTGATGTTTTTCGTGTGATGATTCTGAATTGGTTTAGAGGGTAGACCTGCATTTAATTTGGCTTTTATTTGATGCCATTTTGATTTATGTAGCCGACCTAACTAGTGTTGATATTCCATGCTTTTTTTTTGTTCTGTGGAAACCTGCTGCCTGCTGCAAGAGCTTTAATTTTTATAGTTGAAACTTTTCAATAGTTGTAGTAGATGATGTGGTATTTTGCACCTTTGGATTTAACTTTTGGGTCCGCCTCTCATGAGGATCCTGATTTGTTTTGTTGCTAGATGTATATTTACTATTCGTTTCTATTGAATGGTTGAACAAAGCAAAATAAGGATGTATTGGCATCTCAGTTTTATGCTTCGTGATCCATAATGTTGATATTGGTATTAGTTGAGTTGTGGTTCTACCAATTTTTGTTTGATTACATGATCATCGTGAGGCTTAACAGGGAATTACTACTTCAGCTGTCTTTACATAACTATATATTAGAAGCTGATTTTTAATGATCTGCATTTGTTTTATACACTGCGATCTGGGTTGTGACTTTAGAATTTCAAGACTGTATCTTTGTTAGAGTGTCTTAACTAGATCTACTTTAACCCTTCAAGCTGCCATAGAAAGATTGTGGTGGGTCTGAGCATTGTAGATGTAAGTGAAATGCTTTATCCTTAAGATGCGAGATCTTCCTTTTCTTTGTGTTTTCCTTAATACTCTACTGCTAGAATCCAATTTTGTCGCTTTCCTTATTATTTAAATTCCAGAATTCATCGGTGAATCCACAGTAGTGATAACTTTGTATGCACATCTGTTTAAGCTATTACTTAGTTGAATCTTTGAAATAATGTGGTTGTTCTTTAGTGTGCTGAATCTCATTGTTTGTGGATGTAGGAAGCAGCAAATCCATTTGAATACTGTGACTTGGTCACTACTACTACCCACAAAAGCTTGAGGGGTCCAAGGGCGGGTATGATCTTCTACCGGAAGGGTCCCAAGCCACCAAAGAAGGGCCAGCCTGAGGATGCAGTTTACGACTTTGAAGACAAAATCAATTTTGCTGTTTTCCCCTCTCTCCAGGGCGGTCCTCACAACCACCAGATCGGTGCTTTAGCCGTGGCTTTGAAACAGGCCATGACTCCTGGTTTTAAGGCCTATGCTAAGCAAGTGAAGGCAAATGCTGTTGCTCTTGGCAACTACCTGATGAGTAAAGGATACAACCTCGTCACTGGCGGGACTGAAAACCACCTTGTTCTTTGGGATCTTCGCCCTCTTGGTTTGACTGGTAATAGATCCAAGTATACTCGGTCTTTTGGAATGTCGAGTATTCTAAGCATTAATAGTAATTTTCACAAATGTTGTACCTGTCTGACAATTTGCAGGTAACAAGGTTGAGAAACTCTGTGACCTTGCCAACATTACTGTTAACAAGAATGCTGTATTTGGTGATAGCAGTGCTTTGGCCCCTGGAGGTGTTCGTATTGGTAAGAGCCGAACCAGTTGGCTCATCTTCTGTTGTTTGTTGCTATTTAAATGTTACATACACCCCCCCCCCCTCGTGTCCTTGCTGAGGTTTGTCGTACCACCTTCTCAAAGATGTGGGATTTACCTAAACTCAGTTGACCGCTGAGGTCTGCCCCACCATCGCTCTAGGTTGCACGCGGAATGGCTGTCATACCATAGTTAACAGCCCTGTCCACCGGTTATATTGTCCGCTTTCGGCCTAGGCCCGCACGGCTTTAAAACGTGTTACTATGGTCTAAGGCTTGCTTCCTTATATACCCAGCATCTCTCCTGTGTTTTGTCGTCACTATGGTCTAAGCTTGCTTCCTTATATACCTAGCATCTCTTCTGTGTTTTGCCAATGTGGGATGAATGTCACATCTGCAGTAGGGTTGAAAAAAGGTAACTAATTGGAATACTTTATGCAGGTACTCCCGCCATGACATCGAGGGGTTTGCTTGAGAAGGACTTTGAGCAGATCGGCGAGTTCCTTCATAGGGCAGTGACAATCACCTTGAACATCCAGAAGGAGCATGGAAAGCTTTTGAAGGACTTCAACAAAGGTCTGGTTAACAACAAAGAAATTGAAGAACTTAAAGCAGATGTTGAGAAATTTGCTTCTTTTTTTGACATGCCTGGCTTCAAGATGTCTGAGATGAAGTACAAGGACTAAATATGATACTTTGTACCACTGCTGCTCTTGCTTTTTTTCATTTTTTTTTTCTTTTGTTTGGTTTAAGAAAAAATTTCCCTTGAAGTTTATTCATTTACTAAGAAGAAAAATTATTATTATGCCTTGTTATTGTACTTTGTATGTTAGGTTAGTGATTGGATCTTGTCATGAAAGAAGTTTGTAGTTTCCCTCTGATTTATATCCCTGTTTGATTTCAAGGAGTTCCGACAAATATAGGGTATTATCACTTTTACCCGCGCCAGAAATTATTTATATTCGTTAGCCAACAAAGTGGGAAAATTTGTATAATTTTTGTATATAACATATAAAATGTATATATATACAAAAGATATACATTTTTCGGTTATTATTTTGAGAGCGGCTATACAGTGTCATTTTCTTCCAAAAATTAATTCAAACAGAAAGAACTACTTGTTCAATGGAAGGGAGGTATATGAAAGTTGGGCTTCAGTTTTATGAAAGTTCGACTTAGGGCCTGTTGGGCCATTGTTTTTTTTACTTTTTTTGGGAAATTTTTACTTCTTTTTTTCGGAATTAGTGTTTGTCCATGAAAATTTCAAATTTCACTTGAACTTGAATTTAGGAATTTTTCAGAAATTTGAAAAACTCCAAAAGGCTGCCAAAAGGCTGTTTTTCAAAATTTTCATTAAAAATCACTCTCAAAATTCAAAAATAGCTTCAAATTATATTAACGTCCAAAAACAAATTTAATTTTCAAATACTATTTTCACTTGTATTTTTTTTTCATAATTTTACAATTCTTATATCCTAACGCCCACTTAGACCACTTTGAAAATTTCTGCTTCGGCAAAGGGCTTAAAGTACCCCTATCGTATGGTAAATAGTTTATAAAAGCCCTCCGTCCATCTATCCGTCTGAAAATATATAGGACGTTAATTCTATTATCAAATTTACCCCCATGACTAACTGAACTTTATGTGGGCCTCTCATTAAATGATGTGGCGTTCTTTCATTTGTCCACATGGCTCAGTGGGGCTGACATTGTATTTGGGTAATTTTTGACCCAATTAACCGATCCGACCCACTCCTTTTACCTTATACCCACTCTTTTAACCCTATACCCACATATTTTACTCGTCTTCTTCCCCAATTTGGAACCTAAGTCATCAGGTTGCTTACCCGATTCTTCTTCCCCAAAATTTCTCTTTTTCAACTAATTAAATCTTGTCTTTTTCCTTCGAATCTTGTGGTTGGCTATAAAAGTTCCGCCTTTATTGAATAATAAAAAATTCAAATGTCTGAAAATTCTGTCTCTTCTGGTTCGTCGCATCGTTGTGGTTGTGGTTTAATTGCAAATCATTATGTGGCTAAGACTCCTTTGAACGGTGGTCGTCGATTCTGCAAATGCCCTCGTTTTGACGAGGAAGCTTCATGTGGTTTGTGGGAATGGCGGGATGAAGAGATGCCACCACATGTGACGATGTTAATCCATAACTTGAATACTTCACTGAAGTCAGTGGAAGTTGAAAGAAATTGTCTGAAGAAGATGGTGGCTAACTTGGAAGATGTTTCTGCTGAAAGACTGAAAATGTAGAAAATAATGGAAGAGGTGGAGGGAATTAATTCAGCAAACTTAGAGAAGGTCGCTAGGATGGAGGATAAACTACAAAATATGAAGTGGTTTATTGCGTTTTCTTGGATTGTCTTTGTGTTAGTGCTAGTTTTCAAGATGATGTAGTGTAGTTAGGTTATTTTGTAATTCTGTCGATGTTGTAATTTGCAAATGTTTATGGATTTGGTTCATATGTTGTAATTCTGCAGATGTTGTAATGCTGCATTTGTAATTGTTCTCTGTTGGTATGAAATGAAGTTTTTTACCATTCTCTTCACTCTCATACAATATTTTGCATACACGGACAATCACAATAACAAATAAAAACATCTCATAGATAGACAAGAAGAACATTGCCATTAATCGAGTAGCAAATATACATTGTTTCAAGATTTAAGCCCACCAAAACATTGCTATTAGACAAGTAAATGTATGATCCAAAATCCTATACCACTGTCACAATATTTACTTGTCTAAAAGCCTAGAACATAAACAAACATCATGTACTCGAACAGTCATGCAAAAAAAGGATTTTAATGTATATTACATTCATCATTTCTTGCTACACTACTCCCCATTGCCTCTTCTAGCTTTAAGTTTGCTAATCTTTTTCTTTTTCACACCCAACAGTTGAGCTGTTGTCATTGCCTCATTCCCCTTCCAGGTAGTTCTCTTTGGGGAGTATGGCAGTTTTGTTGGCTGTGAGCTACCAGTGTGATCACCTGTGAATGGTATCTTTCTAGTCCCAAAATTTTGTTGATTCTTAAGCTGAAGTCTAGTCTTAATATCATAGACAACCTTAGGCCTCAAAACTGGGTCAGCTTTTGCACCAAAGTCTGTTTGAATAAGCCTTATTCTGGTCTGAATATTCTGACTTGGCATCTGAGTTGCCTGGGTGTCATGACTGGAGTGTTGACTTGGCATCTGAGTATAGAGACTGGATTGCTGACTTGGCTGCTGAGTGTACTGACTGGATTGCTGACTTGGCATATGAGTGTTCTGACTGGAGTGCTGACTGGACATACATTCCATACAACATCTAATAGACCCTGCACATGAAGAAACATTACATTAACAAACTAAATGACATAATCTGCTGAGTGTAAAAAGTTTGAGCATATGGTAACATACCTTCTGCATATCTGACATGAATGTATACCCTTCACCATCTTTCAAGTCCAAAGAAGCCTTCAAGTTCTCTATGAACCACTGCCATGTTCTTTTTGTTTCCTTATCCATTACAGCCCAAGCTAGTGGATACACATGCTTGCAAAAATCTTGAGCAACAACAACTAACAACATCCATTTGCATTTGCCTTTTAAAAAGGTTCCATCTAGACCTATAAAAGGTCTCAAACCTGCTTTGTATCCAATCTTGAGGGCCTGGAAACAGACATACATCCTCAATAATCTTCTCTTACCTTCCTCCATTGCATTTTTGGATATCTGTATCACCACATCAATACCAAGGTTGGTTTCTCTAAACTCTTGAGCATATGCCTCCAACTTGTTGTACTCATCCAAGTAACTACCCTCCAATTTCTCTAAAACCATTCTCTTCATCCTTTTTAACTTTGAATCACTCACATTCAAACTAAATCTTTCCTCTAAATCAACCTTCATCTCTTTAACCTTAAACTTAGGGTTATTTTAAATCTTTCTCTTAAAATAATGTGCTAAAGCAGCAGGAGTAGCTCTTTTGTTCTCAAAAACTTCATCACATTCATGTTCATCCCTCCAAGTTTTTATCTTTACCCCTTGATTTCTGTCATCCTCAGAAATAGACATTTAAAGGGACACCCAATCTGACACTTGTATCTAAGTCTTCTCCTATCACTCTTATCTACCTGAAGGCCCCTCTTATTAAATACAGCATAATAACCAATAACCTCCTTAGCTTCAGCAAGATCTTTAAAAGTCATACCTTTTTCTAATGTTTTATACCTATCAAGTTGGTCAGTTGCCTCACCATCAATTACTTATAAAAATCGACAAAAACCCTAGCTTTAATATGTAGGACCAACACGACAAGGACAACCAAAAACAAAAGTAACTTAAATAAATCTAAAAAGGTACAAAAAATAGCTCAGATAACATAAAAATATCACATGCAACAGACATAAACTTGTTAGTTCCCATATATTCCCCAACCCTACAATTTAATAACTTAAAGCTGTAAATACTTACTTTAATCGAATGATATTGCAAGATAGTGATGGAAATCAAAGTTGTTCCTGTTTTCTGCGCACCAAATCGAACCAAATCACGAACCCTAAAGAAATCCTAAAATCGTCATTTGATGGTTTAGATGGAGGAAATGAGAGAAATGGTAAAAAATAAATGTTTTGTCGTTGGGTATAAGGTAAAAAAATTGACCCACATAAAAAAGAGTGGTCGGATCGGTTAAATGGGTCGAAAATTACCCAAATACAATGGCAGCCCCACTGAGCCACGTGGACAAATGAAAGAACGCCACATCATTTAATGAGAGGCCCACATGAAGTTCCGTTAGTCGCGGGGGTAAATTTGATAATAGAATTAACGTCCTATATATTTTCAGACGGATAGATGGACGGAGGGCTTTTATAAATCATTTACCATATGATAGGGGTATTTTAGGCCCTTTTCTGTTTCTGCTTTAGGTTCAGCAAATATGTTTATTCAGAAGCCTTGGAGTCTAAATTTCACTGTAATACCAATTAAGATGTGCGTACAATAAGGTATGGAATTAGTCGACATGCGCGCAAATCGGCTTAGACACCACGGTTAAAAAGAAAAATGTGAGTACAATAGTAACCTAGCTTTCATTTAGTTATATAGAACAGTAATCCTTCACTAAAATGCTAAAGGTAAATGGTAACATTAACAAGCAATAATAAAGAGATTTCTGTTCCTCATTTGTTTATATAATTGAATAAAGTTGCAGCCTCCTAATAGTTTATGTAGTCCATTATGTTCTCTTCTCTCCTCCTTTTTGCCTGTTTGCTGCAAATTGCAATTCCAATAAACTTTTTAACTTTTAATCCCACATCATTACTCATATTAAAGAACCAACTATAAACTAAACTCTTAGTCTGTATCACATTTGGTTGTATGTTTGATTTCCAAAATAGATAGTTTATGTCATCAGCTACAACACTTTTGCTTCAGACGTTTAGTAGGTATAAGATTAATCGATGCATTAGTCGAGGTACATATAAACTATTGAAAGACCTTGCATTTACTTATTACCTATTTAGGGGTTTAATTAAACGCAAAATACAAAATTGACCGGTCGGTCGAAGCTAATTGAATCTACTAGCCAAAAAGTGTATAAAATATGTATATTATATGTATACACATAAATACAACAACAATGACAAGTCGACAATAATAACACAAACCCAATATAATCACACGAGTGGGGTCTAGGGAGAGTACCGTGTCCGCAGAACTGACCCCTACCTCAAGGGCAGAGAGTTTGTTTCCGATAGACCCCCGACTCAAGGAAAGAAAAAAGAAAGCAGTGACAACCAGCAATAACAACAGCAAAATAATAAGAAAACAGGCAGTAACAACAACAAGATAATAAGATAACAAGCAGTATCAACAATAAGATAATAAGAAAACTGTCACCTATTATCT